ACTCGGGGCCCCGCTCCTCAGTGCGCCCCCAGAGAAAAGCAGTCACTCCCGTCTCCCTGGTCTCCGGCCGCACTCCGTGCTCACCCGGCCTGTGACCGAGCGTTTCTATCTCTGGCACCCGACCTCGTGTGGAGTCTCCAAACCCAGCAGATCCCTGCGGTGCGCTCCCGCGCCGCTCCTCCCCGGGGGAGGGAGGGGAGTCTCCCTGGCTCTGCCGCTTGTTGGGTCCCTGCTGGAGGAGCAGTGGCCCGACTGGGCCGCGGATCACAGTTTATGACAACCCCGAGCTGAGAGCCCGTGCCTTGGCTCCGTCTCTGCAGCCGGCTTCCCCGCTCCGATACCTGGGAGCTCTGCCGCACTCAGGCACCCCCGGTCTTTCTGTGACCCCGAGGGTCCTGAGACCACACTGTCCCGCGAGGGTTCCACTCCCCGCTTAGTCACTGCAGCGACGTCCTTCAGTGAAGCCAACTTCTAAAAGTTCCGGTTTTGTGCTCCGCGGCTCTAGCACTTGCCAGAAGCGGCCGACGGAGGCCCCTCCCCCGCCGTCTGTCCTCCCGAATATCGCCTCGGATTCACTTCTCTGCACGTCCTACCTTCCAGAAAGTGGTCGCTTTTCTGTTCAGAGAGTTGTTGCTACTCTCCTCTTCGATCTCCTGTTGAGTTCGTAGGTGTTCAGAGTGGTTTGATCCCTATTCAGCTGAATTCCTGAGACCAGACGAAACCCAGGTCTCCTACTCCTCCACCATCTTGCTCCACCTCCCCTTTACTCATGTTCTTATGCCTTCTGTAGGACGAAGACTGCAGGCTAGTGGTAAGAGTTAGGCACAATGGGGACCCCAGGGTCCTCAGCTGATAAGAAATGTCTTCAATCAACAGTCCTCAGCCAGCATTTACCAGACAACTGCCAGGTATCAGGCACTGTGCTGGGTGCAGCGTGGGGTTCAAAGACAAGGCAGACATTGTTGTTCTCTGGGAACATACAGGCCTTTGGAGAGAAAGGCCACACACAACATGAGAGGGTGATGGCAGCACAGGGGCTGTTAGGAATTTATGCAGACTTGGGAGTAATGGAAGATTTGGTCTTGGTCTGCTCTGCTGCTCGGCTTTACCAGGCGGCCCCCGGCTCTATTCTTCACCGTGCTTCCCCTGGTGTCATAGCAATGGACAGGGTACCGAACGGTAGCACCGTTTAGGGGTTGCCCGTGGGCCTGGCAGGAAGGGAGCTGTTAGGAGTGGGGACCCTTAGGATTTCCCTTCCTGAACCATTTGTAAGAAGAGAATGAAGGCCCCACCCCACCCCCTTAAGAAGCTGTTCAACCCCATGGCTTCCAGCTTCTTCTCTCATTTCAAGTAAGGTTGCAGCCAGCCAGACTATGTGGTTGGGGGAGTGGAGGGGGCCGAGCGAGCCAGGTGTGTGTTCTTAGAGTTTGTGGTGGGCAGCAGGAACCAGATGGCTTTTAATCCCCTCCAATCCTGAAATTTGTTAATTTTATGAAATATCCCTCTCAGCAAAATGTTTCCGCCACTTGATTTGGGGTTTATAATCCATGTTTCCTTGAATGTGTTTAGAGTAGCATTTCCCAGGGCTCCTGGGTATCTCAGTCGGTTAAACGTCTAACTCTTGATTTCGATCTCATGGTCTCAGGGTCATGAGACCCACCCCTGCATCCTCCATGCCGGGCGTGGAGCCTGCTTGAGAGTCTCTCTCCCCCTCTACCCCTCCCCGCCCCCGCTCGCACACATGTGGCCTCTCTGTCTCCGTCTCTCTCTCTCTCCCCACCCCCCTCAAAAAAAGTAGCATTTCCCAGTGTACGTTTTGTAGAACACTACTGTGAGACCCTAGGTTTTGGGAGAAAGAAGTGTTCCATGGTAATACATTTGGAAGGTTCTGGGTTGAACAAAATTTTAAAAAGCTGCTTTCCTGCAGGACTTCTTTAAACCTTTAACGTTGTTAGTGTGTGTTATAAATCTTGAAGAGGCAGATACAAATAACATACAGCGCGTTCTCACCTTAACGGGGTGAGATTTCTATTAACATCCTGGAAAAGCTAGTGTCCCAAGGAACACATTTTGGGAAACACTGGCTTAGAAGATTTTCATCATGTAGAAACCAGCAGTGGTCAGCTGTTCCCCGTTATTCATTTAGAAATCAACCTTCACCAGCAGCAGGACTGTCCAAGTTTAGACAGAAAGAGGCACTTCCTACCTGAGAGGGCACTCGAGGAGTAGAGTCTAGAGTGTCCCAGGAAATTATGATAACAGAACATACCACCCCTGTTCTTATCCTTTTGCAAGCTCTCCCATGAGTCATTATGAATAGAATGAATTATCAAAGAAGCTCCTGGATCTTTTTATCTTAAGGGGAACTTTGAAAAAGGATATAATTGAGGGATAAGAAGGTAGGAATTAAAAGCAAGAAGACAGATGGGCCGACTTCTGGAAGGGCTGTCTCTAAGTGTCTGTAATTAACTCATTCAGTCTTCCTCTGCCCAGAGCACAGAGTTGAAGGTAACACATTCCCGGAACTGACGTGGAGGGCTGGCAAGTGCCTGAGATCTCAGGGTCGTATTTCGGTCACTGTCATACGTTGAGGGCTTCCATGTGCCAAATACCATGCAAAGCCTTTTGTGTGCATTTTCCGTGTTCCTTGAAACAGCTGTCATGATGGCTCCCATTTTACAAAATGAGGATCTGAAGCCCAGAGAGGTTAAAGACCTTCCCTAAGTGCATCCGTCCAGTACGGTGTAGAACCTGGATTTGAACACCAGAGCCCTTATTCACTATATGCACCTACAGCCCCAGGGAGTCCGTAGACATCTCAGACATCAGGGGTCCCTTGAGATGGGCCTCCTTCCATCAACCTGTGTGGGGGGAAGGGCGGAGGGGAGGGGTGAGGATGGGCCACATTGACAAGGAAGCCAAGGGAGAGGGCACATCTTCCAGCTGGTGAGGCCCGTCGGTTGCCTGACAGCAGCCTGGCTCTGTGCCCCTGCCACCTCCCCTGCCCCTTGCCAGATGCATCTCTTCTTATTAGGCATCTGCCCCTCGTGCTGCTGGTGGCCCACAGCGCATGGGCAGGTGTCCTGTTCAAGAGCCCAGAGATAGTACCAGTTTACGAATCAATACGTTCCCTGGCACATCTGGGTTCCCCTAATGGGAATGTGGCAGGATCCGAAATACACTTGCTCCTCATCCGACTCCACACTGTCAGGGGTTGGAGGCTCCAAAGGAACCTTTGTGATTCCAGTCTGCAAGCCGCAGTTAATCAGGCTGGACTCTGGGCAGGGGAGCTCAGGTCTGCGGCCTCAGGCCTTGGCAGTCGCTGCACAGCAGTGAAGACACAGGGGATAGGCCAGGGCCCTGGAGGAGCTACGTCTTAAGAAAAGGAGCCTGCCTGAATGGAAGCAGTGCTTCTGCCCAGCGAGATAGTAAGCCCGGGGCACCTGCCATCTGTTCTGTCAGGCCGAGTGGCTGTTGGGTTCGTCCTGGGCTCTGTAACCACCGTGCCCCCATGGGGTGTGGAGCTGTGTGGGGGGTACTTGGAATGAATGCGTGATGGAGGTGACTTCAGGGTGTGAAGATGACCTGACCTGCATTGGAAGCCATTCCTCCAGGAGCGGGATTGGTGAGATGAATAAACGGACCCCCTCTCTGCCTGGTTTCCTTGCATAGAGCCAGGGAGGGCCTGTACGCTTGAGCTCAGCCCTGCCGGAGGAGGGTGATTCTTCTCCCTTGGGCGCTGACTAGCCTCGGTGGGACTCGTGCCTGCAGGCTTTAGCTTACTGAGAGAACGGCTGACGCCAGGGAGGGCCCTGGAAGAGGGGCGTGGGTCCTGGGAGAACCCGACTGAGCCCCTAAATGTCACTACCCTGGATGGGATCTCTCTGACTCCCCCATCTCAAGTTGCAGCACACACACCCCACACACTGTGTACCAGTGCTCCCATAGATGGCTGAAATTCTGGTTTTTTTATGTGTGCTTACAGTCTGCCTCCACCATTAACCCACAGCCTCCTTAAAAGCAGGACATGTGTCTCTCTTGTTCATATCTTTTGGGTCTGGCTCATGATAAGCACTTAAATATCTGTTAAATGAATGGGAAAATATAATAATAAGTGAAGGCACAACTCTCTGTGCAGACCTTCGGGCTGAGATTCTTCGAAAGCAAATTTGGCTTTGTCACCCCTCTGCCGACAGTCCCCTCGGATCCCATCCTCTACGGGATCAAGTGCGGGCTGCCTAGCCCACCAGCCAGGCTGCTGAGCTCTGGCCCCTGCTGACCCCAACCTCATCTCTCACCATGCCCTCACCCCCTGCGTCCCATGTGCTCACCAGGCGACTCCCAACTGTTGCTGCGTACGTGAACTTGGGACCCGCTGAAAAGGCAGACGCCTGGCCCTTAGCTCAGGTGATTCAGATTCAGTTGGTGTTGGGTGGGGCCCAGGAATTGTCACTTTTTTTTTTTTTTTTTAAAGCTACCTCGGAGATTTCCAATGGCAGGTACTCTGGGGACCACACTTCGAGGCGCGATGCCCCGTCCGAGTACATGGCAGGCAGCTGGTTGAGAGGGCCACACTTGCTCACCTCCGTGCCTTTGGATCACAGCCGCCTTGGTGACTTCTTTCTGGAGTCACCTTTGTCCATCCTCATTTGCCACCTGGAGGACACCTCTGAGCCCCTTCAGGGTTCAGCTCAAAGGGTCACACCTTCTGTGGACACAGTCCTGCTTCCCAGGCACATTAGACTTTTCCTCTTTCTGTCCCGTGCACGTTACACATACCCCTTTCTTAGAGACCATTCTGCTTATTTCTCTTTTCCTCCTCCACTCCCCCAACACTGCGAGCTCTCAGAAAAGCAGCCCGTGGTTCTCTCTGGACCCTGAGTACCTAGCAGAGTGCCTGCCAGCAAGTGTTCATGGCACTAGACGGAGAGCCCCGGACGTGCTCTATCCCCACGCCTCTGCCCTTGCTAACCCTATTCTCTGATTCATGGATCTTTTAGGAGTTCTCGCTCCAGAGAATGGACAGCCTTGTGGATGACCGTGTCAACATCCTGGGATTTTCCATCTTCAACCAGTCGCATGCTTTCTTCCAAGAGTTTGCCCAGAGCCTCAACCAGTCGTGGCAGGAGAACTGTGACCACGTGCCCTTCACGGGGCCTGCGGTAAGTACCCGCCGGAGCCCTCCCTGCGCCCCTTCACCTCCGTGTACATGCACCCTCCCGAGGTCCAGCCCTGTTGGGCCCCCGCTCAAAGAGAGGTATGTACCAGTGCTGGGAAGCGGTTATAAGGGAGAAGGTTTGGGGAGGAGTGAGCTGGAAACAGCAAGCTTCTTGGAGGTCCGCAGGGAGAGCCCTGCGCAGAGGTAGGGATCTGTCATTTAGTGATGTCCTCATGTCCGTCTGTCTCTTGCAGCCAGACTCCCAATCATGCTGTTGCTGAGAACTGCTTGAGTTTAGGCTCCAACGGTCCTCCTCTTGGAAGGCACTTGTATGTAGCTCATCCGCTTCCTCATTTTTCAGGATAAGAAACTAAAGCCCAGCCTGGGGATGGGGCTGAGCATGGGGACATGGAGGTCTTGTTCAAAGGCGAATGCCAAGCCTTTTGCAGGGTGACACTAGATTCTAGGATTTCCTGACTCCTGGTCCAGGGCTCTCTCCGTCATGCTGGGCCACTGCCCTGAGTAGGAGCTCATGCAGAGAGACTTTCTTCGTGCCCTCACCCACGTTCTCCCTCTTTGTACTTCCTTCCCCTGCTGTGTGTGTGATGGAAGCAAAGTTTTCCCTGGCATGCTGCCCTGGGCTTGATGTCCTTACTCTGTGGGGCAGGTCTGGTATGTGGGCTCGTGTCCGTCTGTTAAAAGGCAAGTTCTCAGGAGACAGGGATTGCCTGGCTTTCTAGGTGCTGTCCCAGCCATGTTACATTTAAGCAGCTCACGTGATGCTCCCATAACTTTTCCGAGGTCTGCTATCAGTGTCTTCACTTTGCAGATGATGACACAGAGGCCCAGAAAGATTGAGTAAACAGCCCAGGGTCACACAGCTAGTAAGCAGAGGAACTAGCATCAGAACCCAGTTCAAAGTTTTACCTGCTATGCCCTTTTCCCCTTTCTAGGAGCATCGTTGTGTTGCCACTGCAAATTAGCCTGGCAAGGTGAAAGCAGTTAGTGGGTATTCATTGAACAAATGAGTGAATCAGTGAGGAAGGTGGAATAGTGAGCTAGAGATAGGAGGAACTGGAAAAGAAGTAGTCCTGAGAGGTGGCAGTGGAACCGGGCACCCTCCTGGAATGGGACCTTCCCTGGAAGGCTTCTAAAATAGGAGCAAGACCTGTCTTTGATACATGTCTGGGGGCAAGGATGTTTCTGGACATCTGCACAAATGGACACCTAGTTAGTGTTTGGCCAAGGCGGCGATCCAGCAGTGGGCTTCCTGAAGGAAGGGGCGTGGACAGAGTGCCCGTCCAGCAAGCTGTGTACCTCCATGATTGCGGGGCCTGGTGGAAATCCTAGGAAGGAAGGAGTAACGAAGGGGTCGGAGCTGATACAGAGCTCAGGGAGCTATGATCAGGGAGTCAGGGAGGAGAAGACCCCTGAGAACTGAGTTTCAGGAAAGGTTTAAGGAGCACATCCCAACAAGGTATTTTAGACTTGAAAGAGGTGAGAATCCACAGGAAGGACTTGGCAGGGGTGAGACATCTGAAGGAAAGGGGTTCTCACCACCAGTAGATGGGTTAAGGACAGTGAGGGACATGCTCAGGCACAGCGTCACGGTAGGCCTGGCCTCGTCCCTCCCAGCCGGATGCAGGCCTGGCCCCCTGGTTTCCCAGCGGGTCTTGCAGCCTTGGCTCCCGTATTCTAATGAGCTGCTGGCAGACTGGGAAGGCTCGCAGCATAATACCAGGAAAGGAAACAAAGCCTGCTACCTGCTCTCCAACCCAGACTGTTCCACATTTGGCACCCAGCCTGGGTGAAATAAAAGGTTCCTGTGCCATATTTCCAGTTGCTCTCGGAGGGGCCGAGTCCTTCCGTGAGCGCTCAAACTGACCACAAGCAGGCAGGTGAGAAGCCCGCCCAGGACCCAGCAGGAGGGCTTGCAAGGACCTGACATGCAGGCCAGTCAGTGCCTTTCATGGGACTCTGGGGCCAGCCGTGCTCACACGCGCTCAACAGAGCACTAGCCTCGGAGGCCTAGGACCTGGATTCAAATACCAGCCTTGCCGTGTTCTCGCTCTGTGATCTTTGGTAGTTATGTAACTCTTCTGAGCCTCAGATTCTTTATCTGTCATTTGGGGCTGATTCTGCTTGACCACCTTAGGAGATTTTTGTGAAGATAAAATGGAATATAATTCTACCTTCAAATCACAGTTATTCATCGAATGAGCTAATTTAACATGCTATATGGCAGCCACAGGGGTAGGCATTTACTAATGTATCAGGTAGCTTTTGTTGTATAAATGCTGGGTAACAACCAACCCCCAAATGTCACTAGCATGTGACACTAAGCATCTGTGTAGCTCATGCCTCTGAGCTTCAGGCCAGCTAATCTGGGGGGTGAGGGAGGATTAGCTACAGATTCCTAATCTAGCTGGGGGTCAGCTCATCTGAGCAGTTCACTCCATGAATCTGGGCTGGGGCAGCTCCGGCTCCACGTGCCTCTCATCCTTCCCTGGCCCAGCAGGCAGGCCAGCCTGGCGTATTCTCACAGTGACGGCAGGACAGTGACAAAGCAAGTAGGAACATACCAGACTTTTAGTGCTAATTTCCCAGAACGGGCACACAGCAACTGCCGACTCACATTGTTAGCCAGAGAATGGCACACAGACCAATTCCAAGTCAGGGAATGAGGAAACAGGCTCTACTCTTTTAGAGAAAAAAAGTAAGGAGTCACAAGGCAAAGGGTCTGAGTCCAGGGCAGAATGAAGGATGGGGACCCATCCCATATAGTCCATCCTGGTGAAGAAGAGCCAAAGCCTCTACCTTCCGGGGTTCATGATGTGGGAAGTGAGATCTGCCTCCACCTCTAGGAAAATGCTCCCCCGTGGGATCCTATCCTGTGGAAGCAGAGCAAAGCCCCTTAGTTCTGCCTGGAATGATCAGGGAAGGCTTCCCAGAGGAAGGGGAAGTGAAGACCTCACGGCTGCTCAGTTAGTGTGCGGGACGCGGTACGGGGTGTGGAGGCATCCAGGGTAGAGCTGGGGCCGCATGTCTGGCCACACGGAAGCAGCCCTCGTGACCTCATTTTTGTCCCTCCCGATCCAATCCTAGGCCTCCCAGAGCCTCAGCATCCTATGTTCCCCAAGAATGTTGAGGAGCGTTCAGGGAGTAGGGGGTTCTCCGGAGGTTCCCTCTGTGTTGGGGGTGGAGAACAAGAGTACAAGCCTGCTTCAGAGGGGTGGCGTGAGGAGATGAAGGGTGAGCCTGAGACCTAGCCCTGGTCCCCGGGAGGGGACAGTCAGTCCTGGGTCTCAGATTGTGGCGCTTCCTCGGGCAGCTTTCTCTTGGCCAAGCCCTGTTGTTTTCTTGCCAGCAAAATAAGGACATGTGTTCTTTCTAGCTCAGGAGACCGGGGTGCTCATTCCATTTGTTTCATCTGTGCGCAGAGCTGAGGAATACTGGAGCGCTTCCCACGAAATTATCCCACCTCGACCCCTTTTTTCCTCCTCATGGCATCCTAATAGCAGATGAGAATGGTCACACACCCCTTGTTTGGTAAATGGGGAAACTGAGGCACAGAAGAGGGAGATTAGGGCCCAAGACTTCCTCTCGGTGCCAAGAGCCTTGCAGCCACCATCTCTGTAGCCTCTGAGGAGGAAGGGGAGGTGTTACAGAAACTCCTCACCTGGAGGAATAAGGAAAGAAAGCTCACAGCTTCAAACAGCAACAAATCCTTCTCGAGGCTTCTCACTTAGCAACTGCCTTTTGAAAAGCAGTGCCTCTTCCTGTCTCTTTGGGGGTTGAAATTCCCAGCACAAACAGCCCAGCCCTTTCATTTGCTGGGGAGCTGGAAGGCGAGAAATAATCAGTTCCAGGAAAGCCCAGGCCGGTCTGTCTCCCCATCCAGCTTTCTCAAAAGGCTGCAGACAACTCCTCCACAGGGACCTGCTCTGTCCTGCCTCCGGGGCCCTCTTCTCTCCACCCCCCCACCCCCGTTCCCCTCTGCCCTGTCTCTCTGTCTCGGGTCCAGTCTCTCTTCCTTCTCGTGTCTTCTCCCCGGACTCTTCCCTTCCCCTCTTCTCCTCCCCCGATCACCCTCTCCCTTCCCCTTTCCCCTTCCTCCCCTACACTCCATCTGCCTTCTGCACCCTTGGCATCTCTCTTGTCCGTTTCTCTTCCTCCCGAATTGTGTGCCTCCCCACCCCCATATGCCCCAGGGGGCTGCTGGAAAGGGGGCTGCTCTGAGGACAGAGAGGGAGCATCTGAGCTGAGGGGTTAGGAACCTCGAGAGAGAGAGCTGAGCACCACCACCCAGGCCCAGGCTGCACCGCCAGGTGGCTGACAGCACGCAATTCCCCTGCTTCCCGCCTGATGCTATGCGAACTGCAAGCGGGCGAGCTGTGGATGGAGACACATACCCACTATTTTCACATGCCATTCCCATTAATCACACTGCAAAGAACAAAAATCGTAGAAAATCATTAAAATTACAGATGGCTAGGTTAAGTAATTAGAATTTAGGCTAAAACAGATGTTTGTAATTAAGTGTTTATTTCATTGAATAAAACCCAGATTGTTTGAACTATTCAATGAGATTTTAATGGCTCCTGTCCTGGTCTGATTTTGGGGGGTAGAGTTTAAGCTACAGAGGTTCAGAGACAAATGGGCGTCCAAGAGAATGGGAATCTAGTGATCTGGGCAGGGGAGCTGCCGGGGGGTGTGAAGGATGAGGGTTACAGGTGTGTGTTTGGAAGATATGCTTATTTTTCCTTCAGGGGAGGGGGCGGAAACTCAGCCTCTGTTCCCTGAGTCAGATTGATTCATCTTAATTTATACAGAGTCTTCCGTTCCCCTAAACAATTTACAAACAGCTCAAAAGAAAATAGCAATGAAGAACCAAATGAAAATACAAAAACAAGGGAATCGAGGGTTCCTTGCCAAGCAACATTTTGGTGCCAAGAAAGAGGAGAGGATTTTAAACAAGGATTGAGCCATTTGGGGGATTTAATATTTAGAAGATCAGGGACAGGGGAAGCGGAGACAAGATGAGAGAGGTGTGCACACAGATGGGGCACGGAAGCCACAGAAAGACAGAGGTGGGTGGTGAAGGGAAGGGCGATGGGTTAGGATGGGAGGCAGGAAGGGGCAGGGATGGAGGGGATTCTCCAGCTGGACTAGAGACATGGACGGAGCGCTGTCCCAGAGCCGCTTTCCCCCAGCTGCAATCCCAAGTGCTTGCCAGAGCTAACTTAGTAAATAATAACAGAGGACGAAAGCAAATAGGAGAGCAGCAGGTTGCTTTGGGATGGAGAGCTGCAGTGAGCTGAACATTTGACGAGGCAGAGATTACAGGCTCTCCCTCCAGAGGAGAAGTTGGCTGAGATTGGCGTCTGGGGGCAGATAAGCAGGAGGAGCGTGGGATGGGTGGCAGGCACTCAGAGAGGCAGTTGGAGGATCCAGGTGAGAGGCCCGGGTGCGTTGCCAGAGGAGCCTGGCGAGACAGGGGTTATGTGTGGACGACCCCGAGGAGACCCAGCTTGGGGGGGATGATGTTCAGGATTTAGGAGGTTTCAGCTCAGATGGGCCCAGGCTGGGCCACAGAGAGGACCCGTGAAGCCCGGAGCGCACTGGGGACCGCCACCGTGTCACCTCTCTGAAGGCAATATGCAGATGGAGAGGAGACAGGAGCCTTGAGGCTGCCCCTCTTCCCTACCCATCCCTGCCCCCAGCATCCCTCTCCGGGCTATAATTCCTAGAAGCGCTGGAAGAATCTTGAAGGTCCTAGAGCACAAGATGCCAAAAGAACACTGCAAACAGGCACACGCCACTCGCCCAGCATCCGGACCATTTGTTGATAAAAGAACATCAGCCAAGAAAACTGCATCCCAGACGAGTGGAAACAACAAGAAGCATGTGGGAGGGTGTGAGAAATGGCGTGGTGAGCTGTGTCTGCCAGTCTGCAGGGACTGGGGTCTCTCAGGGCCGGGCACACAGCCTCCTGAGAAGAAGGGCCTGTAGAGGGGGATGAGGAAGCCCAGGCTTCTCCGAGGGCCTGAGGCAACCGTGCCCTGGGAGGAAGGGGGTCCCTTGGGCCTTCGTATTGGTTAAGGCGCATTCAGCTTCCAACGGTGGAAATCTGGTATTAAACTGCCTTCTGCAGAAAAAGGAAGCATGTGACCTTGTGTCATGGCAAGGTGAGAGGGAAGGCAGACTCTGGACTGAGGTCTTCGGAAACCCAGTTTCCTTCTATTCCTCTCTGTCTCCCTTGGTGTCAAGTTCATCCTTGGGCTGGAGCCAGGCTGGCTGCCGCAGGCTCGGGGTATCGTGTCCTGACACCGTAGTGCCGAGACGAGGAGGAAGGACTGCCTCTCTCAGAGACAGGAAGCTTTTCTGAGATGTGACCCCTCCCCCCCGGTCTCAGTTCATGTCTCACTGGTCAGAATCGGGCCGCTGCTTGGTCACATATTGGCGGGGCGATGGGAGGACTCTTGGACCACTCAGGATCACTAGAGAGCTGGGGCTGGATTAGCCACCCCTGAGGCACGTGGCTGCTTGGGGGATGGAGGATACCAGAACAAAATGGCGGTTCTGTTGGGGAGGAAGGGGAGAATGGGTGCTGGGTAGGCAACTCATGGTCCCCTCCCACTGCCCCCTCTGTCCTGCTCTGTCCTGTTCTAACAACATTTCCAAGTGGCTCTTCACTGAGAGGCTAACGTAAGGACAACCAGTCAGACCGAGGGCCAAAGTGGGTGACGGCCAAACCCAGGACAAGAGAGAGGCCTGCCCACTCGCCTTCCCTGCCCCCAGCTCTGGCCCAAGAATCTCGTGCTTCTGTCTGCTGTTGAGAAGGTGAGCACATCTAGAAGATTGCCCATGTTGTCCCAGGAGGCTGGGCACGGGGATAAATCTGACGGAGCAATGACTCCCCGCCGGCTTCTCGAGAGGATGGAAGGACAATGTTGCAGACACAGAAGGAAACCAGACTGGAGAAAGGGTCCTGGGGCTCTAGGCCTGGCCCTGCCTCTGTCCTGCTTGGTGACTTGGGGCAGGAGGTGAATTCTTCGAGCCTCAGTTTCATCATTGGTAAAATAAAAGAGTTGGACTCTTTGATTTCTAGGATCCTTCCCAGTCTAACAGGCCAAGATTTTGAGACTCTCCGAATGGACAGATTAGCTGGGAGACAAAGGAGAAAGTGGGACAGAAATTAGTTTACCATATCATTTAAATAGCCAAATAGAAGGATCTAGGGGCCAATGTCAGTAGCGGTAACCAATGCCCACCCTCCTCGGGTCAATGTTTGTCTAAGCTGGAAAGGGAGAGTCTGTAGCTTTGATCATTTCCATACGTCCTTTTGGCAAGGAAGTGTGAGAGGTCCATTAATAAAGGAGCCACATGTACTCAGGGGGAAATGAATTATGTGCAAAGGACAAGGACAGTTGTGGGCTCGCCGAGAAGCATCGAGTGCCTTGCAGGTGAGCCTGGAATCAGTGAAGAAGGAGCCGAGCTGCAGAGGGGAAGGCGGTGGGCAGGAGGGACCTGAGGGAGGCGGCTGGTCAGCATGGCTCAGCCCAACTGCAGAGCTTTCTCCTGGTCCTGATCACTCCGTTTAGTGCCCCTACCTGCTTGGTCTTTAGGCCGCAGGGCACTTCAGGGCCAGGGGACAGAAAGGAAGGCTGATGGAGCTGAGAGGGATGAAGGCCCAGCCCAGGCACAGGGAACACAGGGGCTCCTGCCTGTATGGATGTCTCGGAGGAGAACAGGAGAGGTTGAGGTCTCCAGTGCTGCCACATCGTAGGAGCTGAATAAATGTGGGAAGAAGGAAAAGAAGCAGGTGGAAGGAAGAAAAGAAGGAGCAAGAGAGGGCTTGAGAGAGGGAAAGAAGGAGGAAGAAGGAGTACGCGGGCTGGGCAGTTTTGCAATGCAAGTGAACGTGGACTGGGGCAGGGAAACTCTCTTGGGCTGTTCTCCCCTGTAATTGCCTTTTAGAAAGATGATCTGAAGTCAGCAACCCCCCCACCTCACCAAGTCGCTGTCACAGGACTCCTTGCCCAACAGGCAGCTGAGCTGCAGAGGGAATAAGTCACTCTTCCCAGCCTGTTTCCTGCCTTGAGCTCCTTGTTCTTGCAACTCTCTGTAGCCTTTGTTCAGCCAGCACCTGCTTCCCGAGCTGACACCGGCCCGCACCCGGGGGGTGCGCAGTTTGCAGAGCACGTTACAGACCTGCGAGCCAGGGAGGCCGCCTCTCATTTACAGGAAACCGTTGTTCTCTCCAAGGTTCCACAGCGTGCTCCAGATCGCTCAGCACATGCATGAGGGCTGGGATCCAAACTCTGGGTTTAGTCCTCCCGGTTTCGAGCTCTTTCTCTTGTACCTCCTGCCTCAAGATGCCTCCACCCTGTCTTGAGAGCTTGAAAAAAATCCCAGAGGTCAGGAGATGGCCTCCCTGCCTCCCTCCTTGGAGGGGTCAGTCTCCCAGGGCCTGGCCAGGGAGGAGGAGGTTGTAAGAAGTGACAGACCTCAATGTCACTGTTCCCATGGGGCCTCCCCTCAGGGACCCTATATGGTTTGTCCCTATCATCATTTACACTCAGTCGGTTTTTCTTGTCGGGGACTGTATGTGCACAGCCTGGTGTCATTGCCTCCTTAGATGGCACACTCCTCAAGGGCAGGCAGCTTCTGTTTTTCTGCCCCTACCCAAAGCTGCTAACATCAAGTCAACTCATTGGGCAGTGCTCCGGCTGAGCCTCGGTGGGCAGATTTCACCCAAAACTTAATTCAGTTCTGGAAATATGTCTTTGGGGGGGGGCCTACGACATGCTGGGTCCCGGTGCTAGAGGCTGTGCGGGATATAGAGATGAAGGCCCTGCGTGTTCCTGCCCTAAGAGCTTGCAGTTGAATAGGGAGATGAAGATGTGAACAAGCTTCACTGGCTTCTTCCCCGGGCTCTTACTCCCTCCGCAGACCTGCCTACATTGCTGGTTTGTTGCTTCTTCCCCTCCCATGCACCCCCCAAGTGTGCCCCACACTTTCCACCCTTTTGCGTGGGCAGTGCCACTTCTGGAGTGACTTTCCCCTGTCCCCAGCTGCTCCTCCTCCCAGATCCATTGATGTTTCTACCAAAATCCTTCAGTGCTCAGTTCCAACGCTGTGTCCTCCAAGAAACGTTTTCTTGATCAGCCAACAAGATCTTCCTCTTTGGACCCCGCCAACATTTTTGTGTCCACTCACTCAGTTTCCCGTTACCCTTGTTTGGGTCCTGTCTCCCCGTACACCCTCTCCTTTCCACTGTAATCTATTGCGGGAATCTTCTGCGGCCTTAGAAAAGCTGGAGAAATAGGAACTGATGCACTAATTATAGCAGGAAGCAGGAAGCCCGCCTTCATCTTAGGGCTTTGCGTTTACCATGTGCTTCATAAGTACCCATGACACTGAGTAGTACTAAGTGGTAGACCGATAGTAGGTATATCCAGGAAGATGCGACATCCTGGGGTCTTCTAGGAGTAGGTGACCTTCAGTTGAGCATCGTAGACTGGGCAAATCTGAACGTAGCATCCAGGTTCCTTCCTCCTGAGATAGGCAGCCCCATCCCCTTCTTAGGGATTTCTGACAGCAAGGGGAGTTGCTACCTCCCTGGGGCAAAGAGAGAAGAGGATATCCTTGAAATCAGTTGGGGCTCTAAGGGACACCTGGATGGTCTAATAGCAGAGACGTCTTTGCCACCACTGTCTTGCCTCGGGCAAGCACTTGAACACTTAGGTGAAGTGGAGCTGGCCCAGAGCCAGACGGTGGGCCCCAGGCAACAAAGAAGTGCCCTTATTTCTCCTTTGTTTCTCTTTTCTCTCGTCCCCCTCCCTTCTTTTCTTTGCTCTTTCCCTTCCCTTCCCCTCCCCCTTCACACCCGTCCCTCCGTCTCCCTGGGCCTCCTGCCGCTGCCTGCCCGCCCGCCGTTCCGCCCTCTCCCAGCTGTCCTCGGCCCTGCTGTTTGATGCTGTCTATGCTGTGGTCACCGCAGTGCAGGAGCTCAACCGGAGCCAGGAGATCGGTGTGAAGCCTTTGTCCTGCGGCTCGGCCCAGATCTGGCAGCACGGCACCAGCCTCATGAACTACCTGCGCATGGTGAGGGGTGGCTGGGGCCCCGCAGAGGCGGGGCGGGGGGATGCTCTGTTCGTGGCCCTGCGCCCACAGGCCTCCTCGGGATATCACAGTCCCGGATAAAACAGCCATCGGCGGTGACCCCATTCCGTGCACTCTGGGTCACAGTTGTTCCCGGATCCCCAACGCCCTGCTGAGGAGGCATGGTTTGGAGCTGGCTTTCCCAGCCATGTCTCCAGCCGTGTCCCCTCTGGTGGCGTGGCTGTGGATCTCTAGCCCACGAAGAAGACATCTCCTTCCGAGAAGCCTGGTGCAGAGTAGCTTGGGTTTTGCACTTAGAGTCAGGTCTTCCTGACTTCCTGCAGACCCGCAGGTGGGTGAGCAGCTGCCCAAAGAGGATAGATTCTATTAACAGCCAACGGCCTGAAGGAGGGACACTGGAGAATTGGAGTTCAGGCTGCCATCCTGGTATTGTGCCGGTTTATGAAGCGGCTATGTGGTCACAGGGTGGGGACATCCTCCTCCTCCTCCAGCCCCAGCCGAGTCTGAATTCACTCCAGGAACATCACATTTGTAGTCAAGAGATCCTGTGGCTGAGAGACAGGCAGGAGAATGGACCTTGGATGGCCTGCTTTCTCTTGGGCATCCTTAAATAGCTCATGTGTGGAATGCTGGGAGCCAAGTGGAACACGGGGCCCATTTGGTGCTGTAACTCACTCTCTCTTGGACAGGTAGAATTGGAAGGTCTCACCGGCCACATTGAATTCAACAGCAAAGGCCAGAGGTCCAACTATGCCTTGAAAATCTTACAGTTCACCAGGAATGGTTTTCGGCAGGTAAGTCTGGCTCCGCCGGCATGATGGTCCATCCTTCCTCGTTGCTCCTTTCTGTGTCACCAGCCCTCCCATCCCATTTCTTCTTGGCACGCAGGATGGCCCCTGCTCTCAGTTATCCCCGGGAGCTACAGGCTGCTTCCTGTGCATGGCTCCCGGCACGCACCGGCCTCCCCCACTTCCTGCCACCGAATTAGCTAGTGTGGGTTAGGGACGGCAGCTCCAGCAGAATACCAAGGGGGAGGCCTTCACTCTCTGTAGGAACAGGGAGGCAAGAGGGTATCACCTAAGGCAGGGATCCCCAGGCCATGCCCACTATTTTGGATTACTCTGCTCCCTGAATTTCACCCTAAGCCTGGAATCAGTGTCAGAGTCCGGAGAGCGTGTGGGGAAGGAACCAGCTGGGTCCCTTCGGCATTGGAGGGGATGGCCAGCTCCCTCCTGCGGGCTCTCCCCTGACCGACCCACGCGCACTTCATGCCGGCCACAGCCCTCCCCTCCTGTCTGCTACCTGTGTTCTCCCGTCAGCTCCGGATGTCTCCATCCTCTGAAGCTCCTTTTCAGCCCCCTCCCGCTCCCGCTCCGCGAGCTTGTTCTCCCTCTGTCCAGTCCTCGCACATCAGTGGAGACAGGGATTCTGACAGCCACTCCAGGGGCCTCCCTGAAGTTCTTCCAACCTCCCCGTCGCCCAGATAATCAACCCCCTATTCTCAGGCTAGGCCTTCTGCAGCCTTAGAAAAGCTGGAGAAATAGGAACTGATGTGCTAATTATAGCAAGAAGCAGACACACTGGAGGGCTTCCGGCTGTCAGAGTAGCTGAGCAAGGGAATGTGCCTCTGAAGGGGCTGCAGTCACCTTTCCCAGACGTTATTCAGATTCTTCCTTCTCTTTCCCTTCCTTTCCTCCTCCCCCGTCGTCGTCGTCATCATCATCATCATCATCATCATCATCATCATCATCCTCCTCGTCACAGAGCAGCTTGGCATTTCTTAAGCTCTTACCACCGGCCATAACCATATTGGTTGTGTCATATGTGTTTTTCATTTAACCTTATAGACCAGGTGCTGTCAATTTATTTTTATTTTAATTGTCTGTCACCTGCACGTAGAGACAGCCTTCTTCCTTTCCAATCTGGATGCCATCTATTTCCTTTTCTTCCCGGGTTCAGTGGCTAGAACATCATGGTTCAATATTGATCAGCTGTTTCTGATCTTAGGCGGAATGCCCTCAGCCTTCACTGTTAAATGTGCTGCTAACAGTAGGTGTTCTGTGGATGTTCTTTATCGAGTTGAGGGCATTCCCTTCTCTTTCTAACTTCCTGAGAGTTTTTGCCATGAAATGGGTGTTAAATTTTGTCAAGTGCTTTGTCTGCGTCAACAGAAAGAATCATACTATTTTTCTTCTTTAGCTTGATCATATGGCGGATTACATTAATTGATTTTCAAATGTTTCACCAGCCTCACACACCTGGAATAAATCCCACTTGGACACAGTATACAATTTTTAGGCATTGTTGGATTTGGTTTGCTAACATTTTGTTGAGGATTTAGCATCTACGTTCTGAGTGATTACTGCAGTGGGCTTGGAAGGTTTTTTGCTTTATTTTTTTACTCCCTTTGTCTGCTTTAGGTATCAGGGTAATATTGGCCACATAAAATGAATTGGGAAGTGTTCCTTTCTCTTCTGTGTTCTGGAAAGAGTTGTATACAAGTGCTGTTAATTCTTCTCTAAGTGTTTGGTGAAACACCCCAGGGAAGCCATCTGGGCCTGGAGATTTCTTTTTCAGGAACCTTTAAATTACAAATTCAATTTCTGAAATGGTTATATGACTATTCAGGTTATTTGTTTCATCTTACTTAGGGTCTATTCATCTTAGTTGGTAGTTGGTGATAGGTACTTTTTATTAATCCCTATTTTATAAGTGAGGAAATGAACACTCATGGAGGTGGCCAGACCTGGCCTTGAACAGTTAGTGATGGCAACTGGTTTTGAACCCAGACATCTCTGACCCTGAAGCCCATGTTCTTAACCATTATGACAGACAAATCATGCATCAAAATCACCTTGGTAACTTGTTCAAAAAGATTTTTAGACTCTACCCTACAAGGGTCCCATTGGGTAGACCTCAGATAGGACCCAGGAACTGATATGACCACTGCTCACGCTCAGGGGGATCCCAGGGAATATAGCTAGCCCACCCTTCTTGGAAAACAACAAGGTAAAAGGAGAGAGTCCAGGGTTAGGTAGATAGCCAGAAACACTGGGCTAGAGTATCACCGAATGGTCATCTCATTTCTCTAACCAATAGATTAACATTTGCTCAGTATGAGTATGAGTTCTGGTTCCCCCAACTACACATTTATGCAGAAGAAGCAAGTCGTTATGAGTGTGGATTTGACCCTAGAGGGTCAGCACACCTACCTCTTTCTATACAATTTTTCCTAGTAGCTAATGCAATTCCACTCTTGGATCTAGAAATGGAACTGCTTCCTTCTGTCAGGCACTGTGCTGGGCTCGGAGGAAATAAAGCTGCCGAAGGCACAGTCCCTGCCCTGAAATAGCTCATAGTCTGGTGACACGGGAAAATAATAAGTGCAATTTGGGGGTTCTGAAGCTCAGATCATGCCCTAGGGCTCCTAATTCCCTGAACAAATGAAGCCTCTAGCCTGTAGGGAAATTGCCAGGCAGACTTCTGTGAGCACAAGTGTTAAAAGAATGGGCAAAGTGTCAGCTTTTCTGGGGCCTATATTGTAGTATGGGACAAACAATAGGCAAGCAAATCCATATATAATACAGTGTCAGTAGTGATAAGTGCTATAGGAAAAATAAAAAAGGGTAAGGAAATATGAAGTGCGTGGGGGTAATCATGGTGGGGAAGCAGTAGTTAGGAGAATATAATGCTCAAGCCGAGCCCCAGACTTACTCCACAGAAGGCCCAGTCCCAGGCTCTGAATATCTCCCCATTGAACCTCAGGCCTGCGTTCGGAGAGCTCCCCAGAAAGAGCCCCCTTCCAACCCCCTTCCATCAGGCAACCTAGGGTGGCAGAGTTGGCTGGTGGCCCTGACCCCACCCTCTGCTTGAATGACAGCTGATTAGGCTCAAAGTACCTCTTCCCCTTTTAACGCTGCTTCTCCAGCAGCTATCTCTCAGGCTGGGAAGAAACAGCATTGCCAGCCCCTAGCTCAGCCCCACCCAGCCCAGCCCAGCAGGAGATTCTGCTCGGGGGCATCCTAAACTGCAGCTACTGGTCCTTCTCTGGCAGCACACAGGGTTGGGGTAAGTAAGGCGTCTCAAACCTCTAGGTGTGCCCAGGAATGACCCAGGGTACTTGCTGTAATCGTACATTCCCAGGCCCCACAGCTATAAATTCTGAGTCAGCAAAATGGGGTGCCTTCCAGGAATCTGCATATTCTTGGCTAGCACCCAGATAAATGATTACAGTGCGGGGGGCGGGGTGGGGGGTGGCACAGGCTATGTTTTGACAAATAGTGCCCTCTGAGCATAGAATTTCCTCTTAACCTCCCCACAGCGCACCCCCATCTTTTTGAGCCAAGGAGTCCATCAAAGAGGATGGTGTTTTTGACCTTCAGCTACCCTAAGGGACACACATTTTTCTAAGTTTTTATTTTAATACCGACTTGTTAACATACAGTATAATACTAGTTTCAGGTGTACAATATAGTGATTCAACACTTCTATACATCACCTGGTGCTCATCACAACAAGTGCACTCCTTTCCCCTCTCCCCCCACCCCCTCCCCTCTGGTCACCATCAGTTTGTTCTCCGTAGTTAAGAGTCTGTTTCTTGGTTTGCCCCTCTCTCTCTTTTTTCCCTTTGCTTGTTTCTTAAATCCCCCATATGCATGAAATCATATGGCATTTATCTTTCTCTGACTGATTTCACTAAGCATATACTCTGTAGATCCATCCTGTTATTGCAAATGGCAAGCTTTCATTCTTTTTATGGCTGGATAATATTCCATTGTATATATACCCCACATCTTCTTTATCCATTCATCAACGGATGGACACTTGGGCTGCTTCCATAAGTTGGCTATTGTAAATAATGCTGCTATAAACATCAGGGTGCATGTATCCCTTTGAATTAACGTTTTTCTATCCTTTGGGTAAATACCCGGTTGGATCATAGGGTAGCTCTATTTTTAACTTTTTGAGGGAGCTCCATACTGGTTTCCAGAGTGGCTATACAAGTGTGCATTCCCACCAACAGTGTAAGAGGGTTCCCCTTTCTCCAGGGACACACATTCTTGATTGGATTTATAAAGTGGATTGCGATAATCCTCTTTATTACCCATTTTTCTTCAACAGATCTGGTGACTGTTGTGCTACTTTCCTGTCTCGCTCAGGCTCTGTGAATACCAGTGAATACCGTGCAAGATGTATCATGGGCACAGACATAGCTCTGCAGCCTTGGTCCCCAGGTCCCATCTCAATCACCAGCCCAATATTTGCCTCTTGATAGGTGTCTTTCCCCTGATTATTACAGGATGAAGAAATGGTTTGGGGAGTGATAATTAATTGGGCTTCTTTTTCAGGGTGGGAGGAAAGTCAGTATCTCTGCTCCAATATTCTTCCAATGCCATCCAGTGGTGCTGGCAGGGGAAGGGGAGTGACCAGGAACAGAGGAAATAACATCTCTTGAGTACCTGTTGTGAATCAGACACCACATGTGTACTTCGCACAGATCCCTTCTGACCTGGGGGACTGCCCTTGAAGGTGGATAAACTCCCACGTCACAAATAAGGAAACTGACACTCAAGGAAGATAAGGAACTTGACCCAAGTTCACTATTAGCAAGGACTTTGGGCCCAGCTAAAACTCACGCTCAGTCTTGTCCAACTCCAAAGCCCATGCTCTTGGACCTCCTGCTCTTGGTTTTTGCTCACTTTCCTGGAATCCCTAAGCTCCCAAATCAAAACACTTTACCCAGGTCTGTTGCTTTGCTGTCACCTGCTCCCAGTGACGTGCTGGGCTGGGCTTT